TATATATTTTTTAATTAGTAGAAACCTGATTTATGAATTTTGAAAGTATTTATTGTAAAAGTGAAATAGTGTTTCCTAATGGGCTGATATATGTATTGTTCCCATTAATAGTTGGTCACAGCCCATTTACTAAATGGATGGCCCATTTATACAGATAAACCCATTTCCTCGTTTGGCCCATTTTATTGGCTGCACCACACATCAGTATTCTAAAAAGCATAAAGCATGACTATGTGTGGAGACGAAACTTCAAGATTTACGATACTTAGGTATAAAAAAACGTTTTCTTATTTTTAATATTATTTTAAAATTTTAATCATTTTAAAAATCATTTAACAATTAAAATAATACATGTCAAATATCTAAATTTATAAAATACCATATTTACTTAATAATTCATACTATTGGTCAATTATACAATTTTCAAGTTTTCGAAATACAAAAATTAAAATATTTTTCATAATTTCAATTTTCAACTAGACAATAATAGATTTATAGGAATTTCATACATACTCTTTTAGTTTGCAACAAAATAATGAATCTCAAGATCATAATTACATAATGTAGATAGCACTATAGCTTAAATTTTATTTAACTATTTAGATCAAATCATTTTTAACTTTTATACAGATAAAACCTTTTAAAATTTTGAAATTAAAATCAAATGAAAAGTTTTTTAAAAAATAAAAAAATTAATAATCTATATTCAAATAAAAGACTTTTTAGAAAAAGGAAAAAAAAAAGAATAAAGTGCGTTTAGGGAAAATGAAATAAAGGAATGAAAAAATTAAACCGTTCAGGAGTTAGAATAATAATAATAATAATAATAATAATAATAATAATAATAAAGAGATACGTTACTCAAAGTCGACATTCTCCCTTCCTATTCACATTAGTGAAGCGGCTGTATGCATACCATCTCATTCGCTTTGTGAGATAATATCCTTTGTAAGTTATACATATATTTGTGCAACGCTATTATATCATTTGTGGTTGAGCAATTGATTGTTTGTGTTGATATTAATTTGAGAAATTGAGCCTATTATTTGTACATCGATTGAAGATCTTGGTGAGTATTTCCATCACAAATTGGTATTAGAGCATAGGGGGTGTACAAAAAGAGTAGAAAAGTTTGTGAAAAACTATTGAAATTAACACACTTGAACCTCCAAATCCATTTTCGGCGAAACCAAACACATAGTGAACGAACGAACACCATTTTTTTTACTCCAGAAGACGAGGCAAAGCTACCTGGTCAACACGTGGTGTAGGGGAGGCAACAATGTGTGTAAGGCCCAACACAGTAATAGTAATGCTGCGTGGAGCGTAGGTCCTCGAAGGTAGTTTGTTCCGGCAGTATATAGGACCTACTGATGGAGTTACTTTTGTGTTTTGTGTATTTTGCTGGTTTTGTCCTTTGATTGTTCGGTTACTAGGTGCCATTTTTTGGTTGCTATAGTTCTGAAAGTTTTAGGGTAAATAGTAGTAGTCTTAAAGCTGTAAAGTTTGCATCTCTCATTAATTTATGAATCATAGATTAGTTTTCTCGGTATCATGTTCTTTCTTTTTAAAATTGCTATTTAGGCTATCATGTATGGTAGCCATTTACTTTTTCGTATTAGAGGCCATCGTATGGAGTGGTTATTAGGTTTAGGGTTACCACTTAGGATAACTATTGATAGACCTAGAATCCTATATCAAAAAACACCATTTCGAAGAGAATAGAATAAAGAGAGATGGTAGAGAAGTCTCGAAAAAGAGAACAAGAACTTGAAAGCGAAAAATAACCAAAAGTTTTGTAAATGTGTATAAACTCAGTAGAAAACCCAAATGAAATCAACATATAGAACAGAATTGCACCTAAAAAAATGATAAAGGCAAGAAAATCAATTCAGAAAAAGAAACATACAATTCTTTACCCATGACGAAGATAAAAATGAAGGAAATCTAATAAAGAAATCATGATTACAGGATTAAAACACAAAATACACATATCTAGAGAAATTTCTCAATGTTTGATAGAGCGCGGAGTGAACAGGGATGGCCGAAAAGCCGGAAAAAAGATGCAATCGAAGAGATAGGAGAGTTATCAAGAAAAATTAATGCAACAACAGAACATTCAAGTCAAGGGCTCAAGGTGCATCAATGAACAAAAACCAACAAAAAACCACAAGTCAAAACTAAAAATTAACAGAAAACTTTGACTCGTCTATAAATAATTTCAAAATTTTTAAAAATCTCACGTCGATTAGAATGAGATGCATACACAAAAGAACAAACAACCAAATAAATTCAAACTAGAAAAGGAAAATACAAAACTCACTTGAAATTCTTACCTAGCTAGGGACGAAAATAATATAAATCTTTAAGAACTTTTAGGGGAAGCAGAGAACAACAAAGCAAAGAACATGATCATAGGATATAGAAGTTTTTATCTTATGTATTATATGTTTGTGAGGAAATATACAGAGAATATGTGGAAGAAAAAGAAAAAGCCTATAGAAATTGAGTGCAAACCACTCAATCTCTTCGTAGAAGGAGTCTAGTTGCAGCTTGGGAAAGTAAAGCACACTCCTGGAATTAAGGTAGGCAGCGGCTCCTCGAATTAAGGTAGGCCTGCAATAAACATGACTGCAGAAGTGAGTGACTTCCAATACTCCCTTTCAAGCTTGATCAAAGGGATTAATTGAGCCAAGCTTGAAAACAGTAGTTGAAAATGAGTGAATGGCAGAGCTTTGGTAAAAATATCTGCCAGTTGATCTTGGTTGTGGGTGTAGTGAGTTTGAATAACCTTGGACTGAACTTGATCACGAATGTAGTGGCAGTCAACCTCGATGTGTTTGTTCTGTTCATGAAAAATTAGGTTAAAAGCAATGTGCATAGCAGCCTAATTGTGACACACAAGAGTCATTGGTTGAGAACTAGGAAATCCTAAATCCGAGAGAAGACCCTTGAGCCAAATAAGTTCACATACAGTGGAAGCCATAGCCCTATATTCAGCATCTACACTGGAATGAGCAATCAAAGTTTGTTTCTTGCTTTTCCATGTAACCAAGTTGCCTCCAACAAAGGTACAAAAATTAGTTGTAGATTTGTGATCAAGAGAGTTCTCAGTTCAGTCAGCAAATGTGTAGCCAAGAATATGTGTGTTAGAGTTGTTTTTCATAAAAATGCCTCAATCGATAGAGCCCTTGAGATGCCGTAGAATACACTTAACCACTTGAAGATGAGCAGTAGTTGGAGAATGCATGAATTAACTGACTAGACTGACTGCAAATGTGATATCTAACCTGGTTATAGTGAGGTAAATGAGTTTACCTACTAAACGTTGATAGTAGCTCACATTGTCAAGAAGATCATCGCCCATATCCATGGTTAGTTTGCTATCAAGAGGTGTTCTAACAGGTTTGCAGTCCTCCATGTCAGCTTCTTGGAGCAAATCGAGAGTATATTTCCTTTGGTTGATGAATAAACCTTCGGAAGAAGTGGCAATTTCAATGTTAAGGAAATATTTCAGAAAATCGACATATTTGATAGAAAATTTTTGTCTAAGAGAACATTTAAGAGCCTCAATTTCATCAACATTATCACCAGTAATAATAAGATCATCACAAATAAGGTTAATCAACTTGCCTACTGATCCAATGCAAACAAAAAGAGAATAGTCAGCATTGCTGCGTTTGAACCCAACTGCTTTAAGAACGAAGCTTAATTTGGTATACCACACACGAGGAGATTGTTTTAACCCATAAATTGATTTACGAAGCTTACAAACCAAACTCGGATCACTCGATTGAAGATGGCCTGGATGAAGCTTCATGTAAACTTCCTCTTTAAGATCTCCATGCAAGAAGGCGTTTTTAACGTCCATTTGGTATAAAGGCCATGCATGGTTAATGACAATAGATAGTACAACCCTCACATTATTCATTTTAGCCACATGAGGAAATGCCTCCTTATAGTCAACACCAAAGGTTTATGTAAATCCACGAGCTACTAACCGAGCTTTGTGCCTTTCAAGTGAGACATCTAAGTGAAACTTAGTCTTATATATCCAACGACTCCCAAGAATCCTTTTTCCTTTACGTAATGGAACAACACTCCATGTTTTCTTTGCATCTAAATCTTGCATTTCCTCTGCCATAGCATTTCACCATTCACTGGATAGATTTACCTCTTGAAAATTCAAGGGTTCTTGGACATTGGAGATTCTGCTAAAAAAAACAGCATGAGAAGAGGAAACCCTATGATATGTAAGTAAATTGGTTACTAGATACCGTGCACGATAAGTAACATAATCATGTAGCTTTGGTGGTGGATGTATGTCACGAGTAGAATTTTGTCTGACTCGGACTAAAGGCGATGGTGAAGAGTCCAAATGAGGAACTGAACTAGAAGGCTCAAAATGAATATCTTTAGGAATGACAACGGGGTTTGTGACTTCTTGATCATCATGATAAGGAGCTGGAGCAGCAAAGTCAAGTTTGATGTTAGAAGTAGGCAAGGGAAGAAAATCAAGAACAAGCTCCCCCTGACCATTATTTTCTAGATATTTACTGAAATAAGGTGTTCCCTCATCAAATCTAACATCACGTGATACAACAACTTTCTTGGTGATAGGATTGTAGTACTTGTATCCGTTTTGTGTGGATGAGTACCCTAAAAATAAACATTTAACAGCTCGAGGATCAAGTTTGTCACGATTTGGCCTTGAATATGAACATAAATAGTTCATCCAAAGACTTTTTGGTGAGACAAATCAATCTTTCTATCCCTCATCACTTCATAGGGAGATTTGAAATGTAGCACATGACTAGGCAGTTAATTA